GAATGCCTTTACGAGGATTCAACAAAGGATTTGTTACCTGAGTGCGGATCTCGTTTAATATTTCAAATCGTAAACGAAAGGACTTACCTAAGAACGTAGGCTTCCACTTGATCATTGCGACAGAAACTGATGATCTCGCAACGGACCATCTTCAACAACGATTCCCACTTTTGTCTGAAAAAAGGAAAAAAAACGACCATTATTTGCTCAGTCAGCCGATAGATTATGTGAAGTCCGTTTAAACGGTCAGACTTTCGGGTATCATTATACACGAAAGTTTCGCAAAATTATATAAAAATATATTAGATCAAAGAGATACGCTATCTCTCTTCATTCGCGTCTCCGATAAACTGTGGAAATTTATTTTTATACGCTGCGCACTCCTATTGCATCATAAAAATATGTAAAAATATTCGATTAATTTTGCGGTTCGACAAAAATTTAGTAATAATAAAATACTTTGTTAATGCATTGAAATAAATTAAACCGCGAAAAGAATCGATTTTTACATGAATAATTTACGAAACTCGATCTTTATTACACGAAATTATAATTCTCTCTGATATATCTTTGGAGAGAGAGGGAGAGAGAGAGAGATTCGCATAATGAATAATTTGGAAAAATATCGTTAAAATAAAAAAATTTATAAGAGAAGAAAATGTATAACTGTGTATAAAGCTTGATTTTCTATTTTACCATTTATTACAATCAAGTTCTCTCTTGTGATACGGAGATCAAAGGTGTTCTTCGAAGGTGTTTGTTTATTTGACTTGCAAAACCTTGGCTCTCTAACAATAAATTAAAATGATTCAATTCTTTTTCAGTCGTTGAAGCGACGATATTAAGGGAATCTCTCGTCATTAAAGGAATCTTGTCCAGCTCGACACAACTCGATTGAAATCCTCGTCAACGTCGGAACGTCGGAATTTCACTCTCCCGACCTCCTCTCATCAGCCGGTGACGACGTAGTAGACTTCTAAATTTATTGTCGCCGCGATATGCGAAAATAAACGGTGTGGTCTACGGCATTACCGGTTTACTCATCTAAGGCGCACCTTGCGAGGTTCAACGACACCCCCGACGTAACACGTAAACAACCGCAACAATCGGCATCTCGAATTGGTTACGCCGCTATTAATCCGCGGTTACATAATATCGCCAACGTGACCGCCACATGTGGAGTTGAGCAAATTCTTCGAGCGTCCTTGTCTTACATTATCGATTACTTTAATTCACACACACACACACACACACTCTCTCTCTCTCTCTCTCATTAACCGAATGTCTTTTATGAAGCTTTTAGAATCGTTGCTTGTAGATTGTGAGACGGAATCATTGACGAATTAAAGATCGAGATAAGATCGCGAGGATATCGTTCGTCAGATTTAAGGGCCTCTACGAGCGTTCTTTCCACGCACATTTTTTTACTATCTGAGATAAGCGCTTATACTATTGTAGGTTAATATTTGTAACGAGATAACTAGCTACTGATACGACAAGAAATGACATTCCAGGGTTTTCGAAGAATATATGAAAGAAATATAATATAATGTGAAATATAATATGTGATATGCGCAGCCATTTTTTAATTTTGATAACTCGACAGCGATAGCTTTATCCTTGACACATCTGATTGTGAGCTGCGAAGAAAGATCTCTTTGTCTAATGATCCGTTTTTATTCCAGTATCTCACGACTTTTACAAAAGCGAATAAGTGTGATTCTCGGAAAATTTTCACTACCTCAACTTACTTTATACCTTATCTGTCATAGAATGTTTGCTTTTTTTTTTTTTTCAAACGCGCGAATCAATCACGTCGACGCACCTGGCAATGTTTGTGGCTGGCTTATTTTCGATAGAATTGTCAGAAATGCGTATACACACGCGACATCGACCGGGACGACGTAAACGATCCAACCTAGCTTACTGCTTCGAACGCCGTCGACGCCGGCGCGGCTCGTCATCATTCATCCTGGCCGAGACCGGCGCCGACTGTCATCATTCTCGCAGAGACGAAGAAGGAAGAGCACAGCAAGAGGAAGAGGAAGAGGAAAAGGAGGAGGAGGAGGAGGAGGAGAAGGTGAAGGAGAAAGAGGAGGCAGCGGCAGCGAGACGCCGGCGGGCGTCGTACTTACCGCGGTATCTGTCGCAGATCACCCTGGTGCTGTTTGAGGCCCTTGGAGCTAGTGAACCAGATCTCGAGGAGCTTCTCGACGCCCTCGAAGAACTGCACGTTGTCGGCGCAATCGTCCTTGGTGCTCGCCATCCTCCTCCTCCTCGTCGTCGGTCGGTTGCCCGAAATTACGGAGCGGCACGCAATTGTGCGTTCTCTCTCTCTCTCTGGTTCTTTTTTTTTTCTCTTCCTCTATCTGTCTGTATTTCTCGCACTGTGTCGCTTCTATGTATCTCTCAACGCCAATCGACTCGCTCGTGAAATTGTACGTGGAACAAGATATTCAAAAGCACTCTAGTCTCGGTGACGCGCGCTCGTAGACTGACTTGACACACTGACCACACCAGAAGTACACTGATTGACTGATTGACGGACGGGATGGTCGCCGGTGCTGCCAAGACACGCTGCTGCGCCGCCGCCGTCGCCAGCCAACCGCCACGCTGCACGGTTCGCGCGCTTCTGCAGCGTGGCGCCGCGAGCGTCGCCGTGCCGAACTACGCTCGACGCTCGCGCATGCGCACGCGACGGACCGTGAACGCGAGTAATTGAGAATTCGCACTGCGTCCGATATCCGAGATACGACGTCCGGGATTCAATAGGAGAGCTCGTTTACTAGGGATAAAAATGTCGTTGGATGAAACCCGCATTTTCTATTGGATATCGAAGCGTCAAACGACACAGGGTAAATCCTCTATAAATCTTTCATAATTAAAGACGAATAACCGACGTATGATTGTTGCTGTAGACAATTCTTTTTTCACTTGGATCGAAATTCAATCTCTCGTGATTATCGGTAATTACGATTCAAAATAGCAACAATAAATTAATCGTGCTATGGATCTAAAAAAATTATATGAATGCAAGAAAGATGCCTAATACAACATATGCTTATCTTCTCTCGCAAAAAAAATATATATTACTATAAAAATTAAATACTTTATAAAAAAGATATAATAATAAATAAAGGAAACAAGAAAGAAACAATGCCATGAGAAATGAATCAAATTATATTACAATACATAATTGAGATTATGTAATTTTACATTGATTTAGATTCAATAAATTATTATAAGTAATTGATTTGAATCTTTAAAGAATAAATTTTAATATTTATAAAAAATTTCTGCGAGATAAGATTGCGCGTCATTTTGATTAATGATAACAGATAGATTGTTTTATATTTAATTTGTTGATTAATTTAATGAGATGGAATATTTGATATGTTGATAGCCAACGATATATGTATTTCACGTGCTCGTAATTTAAACATATATTTAAAAAATGAGAATTTTGTTTCAATATATGATAAATCCTTAAAAAAGTGAAACTTTCCTGTTCAATCATCAGAGATAATCGATAAATAAAATGTAAATAAACAAGATAAAGAAATCAGATCTTTTGTGATAAAATATAAAGCAAAATAAATAAATCAATAATGCACAATATTTTAAGAAAAAGGTTTAGTTGCTTTCACAAAGATATGTTTCTTTATCACTTCAATTATGACAATTAAAAGCAAATGCAAATTTAGATTGCTTGTTAATTTAGAAAAGATTATCATCTTGTCTTCTTCTCCTAACAATATAATTGAAAAGTCATGCCATTTCAAAAATTATTTTAAACAAGAAACATAGTTACTGATATATTATCTTCATTTTTCTTCCTGCGTGCTTTCGAAATGGCGAGATTTATTTTGTTAGATAATAAGTTTTTGTGCTTATGGGAAACTTGTGTAGTAATTTTTGCGCTGTATGAATATATAAAGATTACATCATCTTTAGGCATTGAAAAGAAAGAGAGAGAAACACAACATTATTTTTGCCATAATTTGAACATGGCAGCTAAAAATTTATTTAATAAATTGAACACATGCTATCAATTTATCATGCAATCGACGAATGTTAAACATCGCGTTATAAGTAACTAATAGTTTATTAATCAATAATTTGAAAAATGCAAGTTTTATGTACAATACGAAATTGTTCAATAGTATAATCAATCTTATTGCGCAGTTACATTTGGTTTGCGTCTTCTTTTAACATTCTTCGCGATATTTTTTCTATCGTTATTTCTTCTATCGTTTCTTCGTTTTAGTGTTTTTTTCAATATCGGTTTCTTTACCAACGTTTCTTCATCCATCGGTTCGATTATCTGCCCAAGCTTGGTGCTGACCGCCGGCTGAATTATCCGCAAATGAGCGTTCATTGGGACGAAGGTCCGGCTGATGGGAGCCCTGAGGATCGCCTCGTAATCCTTCACCCTAGTGAATGGATATGGTAGCTCCTTGACTTGGTGTTGCCTTAACTTTTTGTCATCATCCTCAAATATAATTACTTTACCCTGGTTTTCGGGTCTACGCGGCATTTCTTTAGGTACGTTCAATATGAATCGTTTCTGTTTACGACGCACTTTACTTTTCTTAATGTTCGGCCCTGTCCAGCTCCCCCATCCAGGCAAGCTCAGATCAATATTCTGTGGCTGTGACTTTTTTATCTACAATCATTTTACAAATATTAGATTATTAAAACAATTTCTGTTAATTCTTCATAGAAACAAAGTTTTATTTGACATCTATGATCCGTTATAAACAAAACTATATCGATAGTTTCAAGATAGAATATGGTAACTCGCATAAATATCTTCATATGCATGCTTGTATTTGTATTAACAAAGTATATAATTTTTTTAAAATCCTTATTACATACCTCCTCCTCCTGTTCCTTTCTAAATTCCTCGACAACATCATCATCCGCAAATGCCTCGCTCATTATTTTGTGCATTTCCTCTTCTTGTTCGTTGTTCTCCTCCTCGCCCGTAACTACATCTGGCATCTGTGTCTTTAAGTATTTTGGTTTCATATTTAAATATTTCTTTGGATCTATTTCCACTTCATGGCTGTTGCTAGTCGGTTCCTGTTCTGTATTCGCTATTGTTTTTAAACTCATTAGATCCTTATCCATCTGCATGTTTTCCCTAGAAGTCGTTTCCTCCAATGGGCAATCTAAGATAGGTTTTTGTTTGGAATTTTCAAATTCGAGATTCGTCAAATCATCTTCGTCCTTCTCCTCCTCTTCCTCATGCTTTTCCTCTTTGTTGCTCGTTATCTTAAATTTATTCTTTAATTTTTGCAGTTTCAAGTCCACTTTATGCTTCAGTTTTTCCTCCATGGAGTCAAACATTTCGTCTATATTTTGCGATCTGTATTTCTTATTACACAGTTTACCTTTCGTTTCGCTACTATTTTCATTACATTCTTCAACATGCCATGCAGACGTAGCACCCATAGTGTCGCATAGATTTTCGCTCTTCTTTTCGTTCTTATCATTTGTATTTTCTTGTAAATTATTTTTCTCCACATTTATTGCTTTGCAATGCACTTTATTGTTACATAATGTCACCTTTTTCTTTTTCGATATAACTTCATTCAAAATTTCGATATTCTTCTCTTCTTTTTTCTCTTCCTTTTTTTCTTCTTTTTTCTGTTGCTTCTCATCCCAGTATCTTCGATAATTCTTGATGAAGTCATCGATTTCAGATTCAGTCTTCAAATTGTCCTCCTTATCATTTTTTAATAATATATCTTCTTCATCTTCCTCTTCCTCATCCTCATCATCATCGTCTATTCTCTTTAATTTTTGTGTCATTTCTCTGCTAATGGCCAATTGATTAGCAAGTACTTGTCGAGTCTAACAAAAAAAAAGAGCAATTATTACAATGTCCTTGATCATTTAAATATTATTAATATCGAAGTATTCCTCTAGTTAAAATAATACTCACTTCTTTGTTGTATTTGGCTCTGATCTGTTGATTCTTAGCCCATTGGCCTGTGTTCTTATGTCTTAACGATATTCTCTCTTCCGCGCGGGTTTTATCTAACTGTTCTAACTTTGCCAAAGCCTCCTCTGGATTAGTATTTTGCAGTTTCTCGAATTCTTTCAGCTGCTGCTTAATCTTGTCTTTCTTTTGAATGCGATGGAACTTTTTGCTTTTTATCTTACGCTGGCGATGTGTCTTCGCCTCTTGATACGACTAAAAACGCAAAAAAATCAGAGCCAATATCTCATCAATGTCATTCTTTATCTCCTACTCTCTTATTAGTAATCTTTTACAAATTGCACATTATTTATATACCTGCTGTGCTCTGAGCCTAGCGAGTTCCTTCCTCTTTAAAATCATTTCCTCTTTTGTCATTTTATATTTATTATCCTTCTTTTCTTCCTCGGCGGGAGGATATAGTAATGATGGATCCACTTCCTCAATTTTTTTCATTAGATCAGATTTTGTCTTGAATCCTTTCAAAAAGGCAGGAGTCTTTGAAGCATTGAAATCTTTCACTTCTGCTGTACGTTTTAATGGAAAAGACAGTTGATCCACTGTTCTGTTTCTAGCAATTATGCCGTTCCATTTGGTCAAATCCTTTTTGACATTATCATATCCAACTGCCCTTTTTATCTGCAAGTAAATTATAATTATTTTTAACAAAATTAATATTATATTTCTAATATACTTCTTTATATTATAAGATACCAAAATAATAATGTATTATAATCTAGAGATAATTTTATTAAATTATGATTTAATCATTTCAGACTGTCAGAAGGAGGAACAAGATAAAGTGGATCTTAACAAGGAATTAAATTAATTTTAAACAAGATAATTTATTTGACAATTTAATAAGACAACTCACTCTTTCAGCAGCTGGTTTCTCCAATGGTTTAGGAAGAACTCTGCTCTTCTTCTGAATGTATCGAAGCTTTTTACTTATATTGTTTTGATCTTTTCTCCGTCCCAGTGACTTCACCAAGTCTTGTATACGCACAGAATCCTTATCTGTCACTCCACTTTTTACTAAATGGTATTCTGACACTTGTATACTGGGTTCGCTTCTTTCAGCCTTCTTTACTCTGCGAAGGAAAGAAAACGATAAAAACCATCGATACATCCAAATTAATCAGAATTTCAATTACTTGACTCGTTTAGTAATATCATAATTTTGTTATTTCTTACCTTCGCCCTTTATCGAGCTGTTCCACAGCTCCGATAAGTTTCGAGTGATGTTCAGAAACATCCTGATCGCTGTCGTGTAAATTCTGATCGATTTCTGTGTCGCACATATTCGCAGTCGTACGAATCTTCTTTTCTATTAGCAGAGAGAAACCTGAGACGGGCCACGCCGCCGTTTTTCCTGTAACGCTTTCTCTAGCCGGTACAGTGGCGCTAACTGGATCCATTTTAGAGCCGGCGGAACTACGTGGCCGGATCCACTTTTCGGTGCCATGGTAAAACGATCGATTGGTGCATAAAATAACATCTGCAAAAAATATGTTTTACCTTATCTATTATCCTTAAACAAAAGCATTTCAAGCAATTACAAATGATATTTGTAATGTAGAAATAAAAAGTTTATAAAGTTTTATGTGAAAATGTTATATGTTATATAAGTATATTGATGACGTTGACATCAATTTTAACAATACACATTTGCTCAAGAGAAAGTGCTTATTACTCTATCGCTTTGAAAACTAGATGTCGAGTCCAAGTTTTCGAAGATTTATCTTCTTTTTTTAAATATTTATTTGTATTTATTAATATTTATTTATTATTAAAAAATAATGTATAATATTTAAACGTATGATATATTCACATGTATGATATATCCGATTTATGTCGCGTTTGATGCCATATTTTAATCGCATAAATCTTATCAAACCATTATAATTATTTTCAAATCGATAAAATACAAAATAAAAGTTTTAGTCTTTATTTTATGTTTATGTATGGACCTCTGGTGGCTCAGGGAGTAGCGCGCCTGACTCACATATCTCGGGTTCGATTCCCGACTCCGATCCTGGCCTGCGCTTTCCTATTTTTCCTTTCCGACATGCACCAATCGATCGTTTTACCATGGCACCGAAAAGTGGATCCGGCCACGTAGTTCCGCCGGCTCTAAAATGGATCCAGTTAGCGCCACTGTACCGGCTAAAGAAAGCGTTACAGGAAAAACGGCGGCGTGGTGGCCCCTCTCAGGTTTCTCTCTGCTATTAGATTAACTTAATTTTCTCTCTGTGTATCAAATATATGAGAAAGGAATAATCGCGCCGTTAAACTAAAAAAAAAAAAACGATCAATTTTACTGATAAACTTTAACTAATTTATATTATTCATACAACAATCTCATCCAAGCTTGGCCGAAAACGGTCAATGTATCCACGTGTTAATCACACATTTTCTACCAGACCCTATTAGCTTAGAGTTAGGTTAGGTTAGGTTGGCTGAGCCATAAAATGTATGAGAAATTTAGATTGCAATAATGCATGTACAACATTTCTCTAGGATGCATTATTTATAGAGTCCCTAGGTAGCGACCATCGATTGTCTCCAGAAATCGGATTCTCCCATTGGCCAGCGGGCGTTCGCGTTCGCTTTACCGTCTCGATGTTTTCTAGTCTATGACATAAGCGTCATGCGTCGTTCCCCCAGATGGCCCGCGAATGGCGTCGCGCGATGAGTCGCGGAACGCCACTTTTGCGGAACAATCGGCGAGCCAGCAGCGAGAGCGGCCGCCAGCGAACAGCTGATCCCCGGTTCTCGCCGATACGCCATCGCTCGAAACGTACGGGAGCACATGTTCGTCGCGCGTTAATTCACGCCACGTTTTCTCTCCGCCTTTTTTTTTTCTCATCCTCGACGGACGAGCGGGATCGCGAATCCGAGCGACACGCTCGCGTGGTCAACGCCGGTGACGGCAACACGCGCGCCTCCGTTCCCGGTTTCTCGTGCGATGAATAGCGGCCGGCGATAACCGGCGTACCGATCGTCCCCGTCGCCGTTGTCGTCGTTGCTTGCCGTGAGGAAACATGGCCGATCGCGATAGCGCGTCCGAGAGCGACTCGAGCTCGATTGACGGCGGACCGATTATGATGCCGCCGTCACCGGTGACGCGCGAGCAGCTGCAGAAGCGCATCGAGTCCCTGCAGCAGCATAACCGCGTGCTCAAGGTCGAGCTGGAGACGTACAAGCTGCGAGTGAAAGCTCTGCAGGAGGAGAATCGTGGACTGCGCCAAGCATCTGTCATTATAGTGAGTGCCGGTTTTTTTCTCTTATCTCTTAATCTCTTTCGCGGAAACGATGTCGTGGATTCGTTTAATTTCCGCGAGACGATATTTTTTTTCTGTTAGTCGGAATGTCAGTGGTCTTTGTGTTATTCTATATTTGCGAGAAACTTCCTTGCATTAAATGTTTGACACGCGAGATTCACGTTTTGTATTTGCAGCAAGCGAAAGCCGAGCAAGAAGAGGAATTCATAAGCAACACGCTACTGAAGAAGATTCAAGCCTTGAAGAAGGAGAAGGAAACATTGGCTCATCATTATGAACAGGAGGAGGAATGTCTCACCAATGATCTGTCAAGAAAGTTGAATCAGTTGCGGCAGGAGAAATGCAGGCTTGAACAGACATTGGAGCAGGAGCAGGAGTGCTTGGTGAATAAGCTGATGAGAAAGATTGAGAAACTGGAAGCAGAGACATTGGCCAAGCAGAGCAATCTAGAACAACTGCGACGTGAGAAGGTTGAGTTGGAGAACACGCTGGAGCAGGAACAGGAAGCTTTAGTCAACAAATTATGGAAGCGAATGGACAAGCTTGAGGCGGAGAAGCGGATGCTGCAGATTAAATTGGATCAGCCGGTCTCAGATCCTACTTCACCCAGGGACATCAACAACGGCGACACAGCCACAAATCTGAGCACACATATTCAAACCCTGAGAAGTGAAGTCGCTCGATTAAAGCACACTCTATTTATCTCGCAACAAGAACGTAAGCATTATCCTTTTTACCTATTTTCGATTTATATCGAGAAGTTTAGTTACCTAAATTTAGTACTGCTTGTATGTTAGATACGGAAAAAATGAAGCGGTATGTTAACGAGGAGAAGCAAATACGCGAGGAAAATCTGAGACTGCAGAGGAAACTACAGCTCGAGGTGGAGCGAGAAGTTTAGATTTAGTACTGCTTGTATGTTAGATACGGAAAAAATGAAGCGGTATGTTAACGAGGAGAAGCAAATACGCGAGGAAAATCGGAAAATCTGAAGGAAACTACAGCTCGAGGTGGAGCGTCCTGAAGCCTTGTGCAGACAT